CATGGCTTCAAACTGCTGAACGGCATGCTAGAGCTCAAAATGACTGGTCGGGTCGTTACATATATACCTCGAGACCGGTTCACATCGACTTGATACCGAGGAGGTCTTCTCAATCTTGAATTTCGGCAACAGTAGGGCACCCTCCCGGAATGAAATCCTCCAGGGGATAGTGAGCCGCAGCTCCATCGCCGGCAGGCCACGACGAAGAGGCGGTCTCTTTTTGCGGTACGGTCTTGAAGTTTTCGCTGTTATAAAAGGAAGAAGAAGTAGGATACAATTTGCTTAAGGTTCAAGAGATTGAGTATGAGGGTAGCAAAGCAAAGAGATTTTGAAGAGAAGCAGGTATGAGGGACTAGTAGTGGCCGACCAACAACTGACAGGTATTTAGTGCCTTGATAACCGAACCTATGAGACGTTTCAGTATCCACTTGATGCTAACGTCATAGTCGGGCTCGTCGCTTACATCATGGCCCATCGAGACGAGATTGGAAAAGTTCATATCATTTCTCGCCATCTTCTCTCCGAGAAACGAGGGGGCTATTCGTATACGGTAAAAATCGGGCTTGCCCTTTCGAATGACTAATCGAGATTGGAATATGATAGGGCAAGATTCAACCTCGTGTTATATTGGACCATGATGCAAAGTTAGATTGCCAAGCTCGTGACTCAGAGACCGATCGGGATCGAGATCGAGATCGATCGAGACCGAGCAGGATAGAGATTGGGCAAGATCGGGACCGTCACCGCACTCCTCTCTTTTTCTTGGTCCCGTGGTTTGTTGTGTGTGTTTCAGGTAGCACTTTTGGTGGCTGTTTGGCAACGTGTGGGAGGTACACGGGCAAGCGTAGCAGAGCAGGCCATTTGGCAGTCACAAGGACTGGACGTCGGGTTCCAAAACACCCAGGTTCTAACGGGAATTGTTGCGGCTGCCCAGGCAAGCGCGAGGCATACGGGCGAGTAGAGCGGAGCATCACCGACTAGTGTGTGCAAAGGTTGGCAGGAGTTGGAAGGACGCACGACAGATTTCCGTGACCTCGGGTGCATCAAGTCATATTTCCAGGTTCTTTCCATCAGGAGTTGGTACCTCCCGCTTTCTTGTCTCTTTCTTTATGTTAGTTAAATTGTGGCTATTTAGTTAGCATCACTTTAAGTATATTATTAGAATACTTGTAGTTGCAACCGGTTATTTTCTAGTTTGGGTCTGTGTTAGTGTTTTTCGGAGTTTGTCGTAGGTGTAGTGGCTGTGGTCTAGGATGGTAGAGTAAGATCATGTCCTCGAGGGGTGCCGAGGGTGAGAAGGGGGTGGGAAGGGGGCCAGTGGTTGGGACGAGAGGAAATGAGGGTAAGGGGAAAGAGGGAGCTTGTAGATTGAGGATCGGGTCATGGAACATAGGTACGCTGACGGGTAAGTCTATTGAGTTGGCAAAGATTCTCCAGAAGAGAAAGGTTAATATAGCTTGTGTCCAGGAGACTAGGTGGGCAGGGTCGAAGGCGAGGAATGCGGACGGGTATAAGTTGTGGTACTCTGGAGTCGTGAGGGGTAAGAATGGAGTGGGTATCTTGGTGGATAGGGATCTTAGAGAGTCTGTGATTGAGGTTAGGCGAGTGAATGATAGGCTAATGTTTATTAAGTTGGTGATTGGTGAGTGCACCCTCAATGTAGTTAGCGCTTACGCGCCGCAAGCGGGCTTGGATGAGGAGGTTAAGAGGCGCTTTTGGGAGGGCTTGAACGAGATTGTGCGTAGTATTCCACCTACTGAAAGGTTATTTATTGGAGGGGATTTTAATGGCCAGATTGGGTGGGCTGCTGGTAGTTATGGCAAGATGCATGGTGGTTTTGGCCTTGGGGATAGGAACGGAGGAGGTACTTCGCTGTTAGACTTCGCTAAGGCTTTCGAGTTGATGATTGCGAACTCGATTTTCCGAAGAGGAAGGAGCATCTAGTTACTTTCCAAAGTTCGGCGGTGAAGACTCAAATTGATTACCTTCTCCTCATAAGGTATGATAGAGGGTTGTGCAAGGATTGCAAGGTTATCTCGGGAGAGACCCTCGCGACTCAGCATAGGCTCTTAGTGATGGACATCGGCATTATGATGAAGAGGAAGAAGAGATATGCTCGTGGCCAACCGAGGATTAGATGGGGAGCTTTAACCAAGGATAAAGCCCAGGAGTTGGAGGGGAGGTTATCCGCTATGAGAGCTTGGAAGAGTAGTGGAGACGCGAGCACTATGTGGTCAACGACGGCGAACTATGTGAGGGAGGCGGCGAGAGAGGTGCTAGGTATATCAAATGGTTTTTCTGGCAGGCACCAAGACGACTGGTGGTGGAATGACATAGTCCAAGGTAAAGTGGAGGCGAAGAAGGTAGCGTACGCGAAGTTGGCAGGGAGCACAAGCGAGGAGGAGAGGAGAGCAAATAGAGAGAGGTACAAAGTGGCTAGGAAGGAGGCAAAGCTGGCGGTCACGGAGGCTAAGAATGCAGCATTTAGTCGTCTATATGAGGAATTGGGGGAGAAAGGTGGGGACAGGAAGTTGTTTCGGCTGGCTAAAGCGAGGGAGAGGAAGGCTCGGGATCTGGACCAAGTAAGGTGCATCAAAGACGAGGATGGTAGAGTATTGATGGGAGAGTCCCAGATTAAGCAGAGATGGCAGACATACTTCTATGGTCTTCTAAATGAGGAGGGGGACCGGGATATAGCGCTAGGGGACTTGGGGCATTCGGAGAGTCTCTGAGATTTTAGGTATTGCAAGCGCATTAAGGTCGAGAAGGTCGTGGGGGCTTTGCGTAAGATGAGTAGGGGTAGAGCGACCGAGCCAGATGAAACTCCGGTTGAGTTTTGGAAGTGTGTGGGTAGAGCAGGATTGGAGTGGCTGACTGGGTTGTTCAATGTAATTTTTAGGACGAAGAGGATGCCGGAGGAATGGAGGTCGAGTACAGTGGTACCGTTGTACAAGAACAAAGGTGATATCCAGTGCTGTAACAATTATAGGGGTATCAAGTTACTTAGTCATACCATGAAAGTCTGGGAGAGGGTGGTGGAGGTGAGGGTGAGGAAGACGACGTCTATATCCGACAATCAGTTTGGGTTCATGCGGGGCCGCTCCACTACGGAAGCTATCCACCTTATTAGGAGGTTGGTGGAATAATACAGGGATAAGAAGAAGGATCTGCACATGGTGTTTATTGACTTGGAGAAAGCGTATGACAAGGTTCCTAGGGAGGTGCTCTGGAGATGTCTTGAGGCGAAAGGCATGCCGGTAGCCTACATAAGAGCGATCAAGGACATGTATGATGGAGCTAAGACTAAGGTTATGACTGTGGGAGGCGACTCGGAGCATTTCCCGGTTGTTATGGGATTACACCAAGGCTCTGCGCTTAGCCCGTTCTTATTTGCCTTGGTGATGGATGCATTGACACACCATATTCAAGGGGATGTGCCATGGTGTATGTTATTTGCCGATGATTAGTTCTAATTGATGAGACGAGGGTCGGTGTTAACGAGAGATTGGAGGTATGGAGACAGACTCTCGAGTCTAAGGGTTTCAAATTGAGCAAATCTAAGACAAAGTACCTGGAGTGCAAGTTTAGCGTTGAGTCGAGGGAAGTAGGCAGGGACGTGAGGCTTGGATCACAGGTCATCCCCAAGAGAGATAGCTTCAAGTACCTTGGGTCGATGATTCAGGGGGACGAAGAAATCGACGAGGACGTCACTCACCGTATAAGGGCGGGCTGGATGAAATGGAGGCTTGCATCTGGAGTCTTGTGTGACAAGAAAGTGCCACCGATACTCAAAGGTAAGTTTTATAGAGCTGTGGTTAGACCGGCCATGTTGTATGGGGCAGAGTGTTGGCCGGTTAAGAACTCCCATATCTAGAGGATGAAGGGAGCAGAGATGCAGATGCTGAGGTGGATATGCGGGCACACTAGGATAGACACGATTAGGAATGAAGATATTCGAAGAAGGTGGGTGTGGCCCATGTGGATGACAAGATGCGGGAAGCGAGGCTCAGATGGTTCGGGCACGTGTAGAGGAGAAGCCTTGATGCCCCGGTGAGGAGGTGTGAGCGGTTGGCCATGGTGGGTACGAGAAGAGGTAGAGGGAGGCCTAAGAAGTATTGGGGAGAGGTGATCAGGCAGGATATGGTACGACTGCAGATTTTCGAGGACATGACCCTTGATAAGAAGGTCTGGAGGTCAAGCATTATGATTGTAGGTTAGGGGGTAGTAGAGCTTTCTTTACTTCATACCGGGGGTGAGGCGGGGTTGGATTAGGATTGATCTTAGATGGCTTGCAGTTTATGTTGAATCCACACTATCCTTGCTGTTTATCTTAGCCCCGGGCCTTAGATTCTGGTTACTGTTATTGCATGTCATTCATCTTTTGGTTGTTATGCTTCTGTTACTATTACGGTTTCTACTGGAGCTACTAATGAATTGTCTTTTCTTGTTTTTTATTTCCGTCTTTCTGAGCCGAGGGTCTATCGGAAATAGCCTCTCTGCCCTATCGCGGTAGGGGTAAGGTCTGCGTACACATTACCCTCCCCAGACCTCACTTTGTGAAATTTTACTGGGTAGTTGTTGTTGTTATTTTAGGGTAAACAATAGGGACATATACTTTTTCCATTGGTTTAATTCTTTTTTGTTTAAATTAATCAACCAAATACTATCTTGTTTTCAAATTTAATATCAAACCAAATCAAATAAGAAAATCAATTATTCAAGCCACTTTGTTTAAATTTTGCGATCCAATTTTTTTTTTTTGATTTAATTGAACACCAATAATAATAACTCAGTAAAATTCTACAAAGTGGGGTGTGGGGAGGATAGAATGTACGCAAATATTACCCTACTCGAATGAGTAAGAGATTGTTTCCGGAAGACAAAGACCAACAGAGACCATAGATCCCTACTGGCAGCAACCAAAAATCTCGTAGAACAATTAATTTGAAGATAAAAATACATAAATAAAAGAGAATCCCAAAATTTTAAATTTTAAATTTGTCATAACAAAACAAACCCAATTTTTCTCTACCATTCCAGAACCTTCTTTTGTGTTGTCAAAAGAGGGGGAAAAGAACAACTTGCCGTGTGGTTTTTCCTTATTTGATTTCTTCGCGGTATAGTTCTCCTAATTTGTCGCCATTATTGATTTCCATATCTATAAATACCTTGCGCTGTTGCCCTCTTTTCTTCACAAATCATAAACTAGCTTTATTATATCGGTACATAGTCCTCTGAATCAAGCAAATCCATTTTGAAGGTATTATTTTTCTTTTCCTCCAGTTTCTTTTTGATGATTTTACTTCTGTTCACTCGGCTTGTCCAATATCTTTTAGTATTGTGGTTTTTTGATGATTCCGTTCTTTGTTTATATCTGGATTGGAAATTTTTAGGGTTTTTGATTCCGTCGAATAATTGATTAGTAGGGATAAAAGGGGAAAAGAAAAGCCTTTAGAGTAATTTTATTTGTGGTCTGTTGTATTAATTCCTTTTCATATGGTTTTATTATTAAGCCCTGGAAAAATTGAAATTTGAAGAATTCATTCTGAAACTTAACCTAATCTGCATAAAATTTGAATTAAGATCTTTCATCGTATTATAGGATCAAGAGATTTAGAGTGACTTTTATTTGTGGTCTGTTGTATTGACTTTTTTCTAATGGTTTAAGTTTATCAAAAATCCCTGGAAAAACTGAAATTTGAATAATTCATTCTGAAAATTAACCTAATCTGCATAAAATTTAATTCAAGATCTTTCATTGTATTATAGGATCAAGAGATTTTTATTAGCGTATGCAATAAGATAGATTTTGTTCTAGGGATATCGGTATTATCTCTTGCTAGTTGGGCACTGATGAACGAATAAAAGGGTGAAATTTCTGTAGAAGTATGTTTAGCAGTTGAGATGCTTCAACGGATCTTATATAGTAGTTTTGTTTGATTGATATACAGATGCAGATCTTTGTAAAGACTCTTACTGGCAAGACTATAACTCTCGAAGTTGAGAGTTCAGACATGATCGACAATGTTAAAGCGAAAATCCAGGACAAAGAAGGTATTCCACCAGATCAACAACGTTTGATCTTTGCAGGAAAACAACTTGAGGATGGACGGACTCTCGCTGATTATAACATTCAAAAGGAGTCAACTCTCCACCTTGTTCTTCGTCTACGTGGTGGAATGCAAATATTTGTTAAGACATTGACTGGAAAAACAATCACATTGGAAGTTGAGAGCTCGGACACTATTGATAACGTTAAGGCGAAAATTCAAGATAAGGAAGGTATTCCACCGGACCAACAAAGGCTGATTTTTGCTGGGAAGCAATTGGAAGATGGGCGCACTCTGGCAGATTATAATATTCAAAAGGAGTCAACGCTCCACCTAGTCCTTCGCCTTCGTGGTGGAATGCAAATTTTTGTTAAGACCTTAACTGGAAAAACAATCACGTTGGAAGTTGAGAGCTCGGACACGATAGACAATGTTAAGGCTAAAATTCAAGACAAGGAGGGTATCCCACCGGATCAGCAGAGGCTGATTTTTGCTGGGAAGCAATTAGAAGATGGACGAACTCTGGCTGATTATAACATCCAGAAGGAATCCACCCTTCACCTTGTTCTCAGGTTGAGGGGTGGCATGCAGATCTTTGTGAAGACTGACGGGGAAGACGATCACGTTGGAGGTGGAGAGTTCCGATACCATTGATAATGTGAAGGCCAAGATACAGTATAAGGAGGGTATCCCACCAGACCAGCAAAGATTGATTTTTGCAGGGAAACAATTAGAAGATGGAAGAACTCTAGCTGATTATAACATTCAAAAGGAGTCGACACTCCACCTAGTCCTTCGCCTTCGTGGTGGAATGCAAATCTTTGTTAAAACCTTAACGGGAAAAACCATCACATTAGAAGTTGAGAGCTCAGACACGATTGACAATGTGAAGGCGAAGATACGGGATAAGGAAGGTATTCCGCCCGACCAGCAGAGGCTCATCTTTGCTGGAAAACAGTTGGAGGATGGTAGGACACTGGCAGACTACAATATCCAGAAGGAGTCTACGCTCCATCTTGTGCTGAGGTTGAGGGGTGGATTTTAAGCTTTTTTTGCCATCAGATGTTTCTCTTTAGTGATCGTTAATGTTTGAGCTTTATTACATCTAATGTTCAGTGACCTCTTATCGATGTCAATGCTATGAAGTGTGGATGGACTACTGTTTTCTTAGTGAAATTTGATTTCGTTTCTAATGAAGTTTGCTTCTTTATGATTTTAGCCTTTTTACATCTTCTTTATGATTCCCTCGTCTCATGTAAAACATCTAAATGCACACGTTCCGCATTTTCCAGCATGTAACAGTAGTTTTTGGATAGTAGAGAATAACAAAAAAGGATTGTATCCATCAAGAAATAGCTAGAATGAGAATTCAAGATGGGAGAGATCTAATTGCAGCCAAGGTCACAGCAAAAGGAGCAATAACAATTTTCAGCTAAGCAATTTCCTCCAAGAAGTGGTCCTTTAATACTACCAGGCGCAGGCTTTCCTCCTAATTGTTGAAAACATTGGTGGTTGCAGTTTGTTGGATCACAAGGTTTGGCAACTGCAAGTAGAAATGGACATACTCGTGATCCAAGGTGTTGTCCTCTTGTCTTAGTGCCTGTATTTGAGTCAATGTCAGTCTCTATATACAAAAGAATAAAATAGCATCCACATCCAAATTTTCCATTGTAATATTCCAAATTATTGAACAACGTGAAATTGGTGGACTCCATAAAAAATATTCAAATTTACCCCTTAACTTTTGATTATAGTTTAAAAGTACCCCTGGGTTGAAGCTTCGTTGCAGGTCAAAGGCAAAAATAAACTTCCTCCTAAGGGTGGGGACAGAGGCGGATCCAAAATTTTATGATATCCATAAGAATTCTATTAAAGAGATAAAATAGAATAGTATGCAACTTACCGAGAACAATGAAGAGGGCAAATATAAAAGCAGCTATGCTCGAGAACTTCTTCATGATTAATGAATATCACAGGAAGTTCAATAGTCAAACTGTATCTATGGGGCTTTTGATGTTAAGATTAAGGTGTTGTGAACTTTATAGGTACAAATGAACACCAAATATGGAAAAGAGAGGTAAGAAAAGGTAAAGAAAATAATTATTGGAATTTTCAACTGTGCATGCAATCTAAAGAATCTATCTTCTGTGGTCTTTTTAGTTAAATTTGACAATTACCAGCCAAAATTTCACAAAGAGTGTGTGGCGTTTCCAATTTTATTTAACTAATACAGTTGTCTGGTATTATACATATAATAATTTTTAGTTTTATATATTATTGTAGCACAACAATTTGAAGGAAAAAAATAACTATGTACGAACTGCAAGTAAAAATTTAAAACGTATTCTCAAGACTCTAATCTTATTGTATGTTAAGGAATGAGAACAAATAAATCAGTATTTTTAAAAGCGGGGTATTTTACTTAACGTGGGACGATGCGTAAGCCTTAAGGCATGGGGTGTAAGCCACATGGATCTTTATATTTTTAATTTAAAATTAATAAAATAGTATAATATCGACAAAAAATATATAAAGTACATTAAAAACTTAAGAAAATTAAAAATAATTTAACTCACAAAAATGAAATATCTTAGTATCTTTTTATAAATATAAACAAATGCAATAGTGTTGTTACGATAAGAAAAAAATCAACTTTAACGTCTTATCCTTCAAATGATTAAAAGATCATAATATTTTCAAAAAACATTAGTAAACTACACAGTTTACTTCTCTAAAAGTTAATAAAATAAGCTTCATTAATAGCGTAATTTAAAATATTACTTCTTATGAGTAAATATAAAATTGCTTTCAAATAGTGAATACTAAAAGTTTGATTATTTTGAGAGCGTAGAACTAAAATACCGAAATAAATTATGGATGTGATTGGCAGAAAATAAATTAATTAGAAGAATAATTATGGATGTGATCCACAATAGATAAATTAATTAAAAAACTGAGAATTGTATTATATAAAAAAAATTGTAACTGATGAAAAGAAGAAGAAGATGAATTTTGCAGAATTTAACCTCTACATGAATAAATACGTAAGGCACTTTGTAAATAATTGTAAAGCCTCAAATCGGGAGTTTCTCAAGTTTGGGAGACTAAAATTCTCCCAAAAGTGATCATATTGAAGAAGCCATGGATAATATGCATATCCATTTATCAGTCGGTTAACCCATTTTTTATCCGATTAAATATTTGTCGGATCGAATAATTTATCCGTTTTTGCATTTACCTTTTTGACCCGCCTATATCTGAGCCGACCCACTTGTTTGTCGCCCCTAGTCATAGGTTTGAGGTAGTTCCGGGGTAGGGGATGTAGCACTGTGATTTTCATATTCCATTTCTAGGAGTTTTTCCTTGAAAGTAGGTATATTTTTAGCCATATCTAAATTGGTATTAGTAGGAGTAGTGGTAGATATATCCGGTGATTTTGGTGGTATTACTAGTGATAGTGGTATTAATATGATTTTTTTTTGTAACTAACTTATTTTATTAATCACCAAGTATCAATTATAAAACCATAGCAAAGCTAACACACCTTGCTATCAATCTCTAGACATATCATACTCTACTTCCTAGAACCATAAGCTATGTAAAAAAGACTTGTTCCTAGGAGTTACTGGAACACTTATAACATAAGCTATTTTCTTCGCAATCTGCTCCCATACTCTATTCTTTTGCTCAAATATTCGCCTGTTCCTCTCAATCCAAACTTGATGAGCGGTTTCACGTAGACAACTTTGAATATCTGCGCTCGTTGTGATTTTCCTTTAGCACGATGGATTGCCCACTGTGTGAATTGTTGCCAATCTGCAACTCCCAGGTACTGTATTTGCATCCAGTTGCAAAATTTACTCCATATTTGCTTAGTGTATTCACATAGCATGAATAAATGATCTCTTATCTCCACTTGCCTTCTGCACATCACACATTGAGTATGAACATGAATTCTCCATTTGCTCAATCTATCACAAGTCATAAATCTTCCATGCATCATAAGCCACATTGTAAATATTGCTTTTGGTCTTATTGCATTATTAAACATCAAGCTTTTCCATTCCACCCAGTTGTAATCTCCAAGCAAATGTAGGTATATTTGTCTGATCAAGATTCTTTTGTGATGATGTTCAAATTGTCAAGTTGACGGTGTCTCGTTTGCCTCTATCACTTTCCTCACCATCAGCAGGATTGCTGTGGTATTGGCATTGTGTTAATCTGCTGGTTTTTAATATAATATGTATGAATCCATCGAATCCACAACTTGTCTTGTTTGTGTGCTAAGTCCCATCAAACCTTAGCAATGACTGCTTTGTTCCATAGCTTCAGATTGGTGATATTGAGACCACCCCCCAGCTTTAGGTGGACATACTTTGTCCCATGCCATCAATGCCTTCTTTGTAATTTCATTAGCTCCCGGCCATATATATAATCTGCATAGTCCCTCCAACCTTGATCCCCTTTGTTGGAAATATAAATAATTGCGCCCAGAAAGCTTGTATACCAAACAACACACTTTGGACTAAATGTACTCTCCTAGCATAAGACAAGGTCTTTGCAGTCCAAGAAGTAATTTTTGCAGTCATTTTATCAATAAGAGACTGCCACTGAAGGATACTTCGTTTCTTAGTAGACAAAGGCACACCTAAATATTTGAAAGGTAATTCTCCAGCTGAAAGGCCCAAATACTGTAGGATTTGTTGTCTATCTTCTGTAGAAACCCCTCCAAAATATGCTTCACTCTTGTTGAGATCAGCTTGAAGCCCAGAAACTTGAGTGAACTGATAAAATTTCTGTTGCATTGCTTGAATTGATTTTAAATCTCCTCTTGCAAATAGCAGTAAGTCATCAACAAAACTTAGATGAGTGATCTCGAATTTGGCACATCTAGGATGATACTTGAACTCTTTCACCATCTTAAGGTTAGCCAGGTTTCTACTCAAGTACTCCATCGCTATGGCAAACAAAAAAGGTGACATAGGATCACCCTGTCTCAATCCCTTAGTAGCATTGAATGGCGTTGTTGGCATTCTTCCATAACTTGTTTCATATATGGCCATTCAACAGAATCATAGGCTTTCTGCAAATCTATCTTTATCATATATTGAGGAGAAATTTTCTTCCTAGAGTAGGCCTTCACCAACTCATGTGCCAGAATTATGTTATCTGCAATCTTTCTCCCAGGTATAAACCCTGAGCTTCATTGATGATTGTACTGATTATACCTTGCATCCTTGATGCCAGAATCTTGGATATCATTTTGTATACCACAGTGCAACATGCAATTGGCCTGAACTCCTTCACACTTTTAGGCTTATTCACCTTAGAAACCAAGGTAATGGCTGTACAGTTTATAGCTCTGAATAATTTCCCAGTAGCAAAGAATTTCAGTACAGCTTCAGTAATTTCATCTTTGATAATTGGCAAAGCTTTTTGAAAAAAAACATGCATTGTATCCATCGACACCAGGTGCCTTATCATCTCCAATAGAGCATAGTCCCTCATAAATTTCTTTTAGAGTCACATCCTTACATAGATCAATTCTTTCCTGCTGATTAAGTTTTGATCCCTTGTGCATCACCCTTTTATCTATAGCAGGAAGTGATTGAGCAGCAGTTCCCATCAGTGACTTATAAAATTCTACTATCTCCCTTTTGATGTTTTCTGGGTCAGTTAGTCTGCTACCATTAATAGAATTAAGCTCTAGTATTTGATTTCTTTGGCTCCTTTCTTTCATGACAGCTGAGAAGTATTTTATATTGGAATCTCCTAACTTTATCCACTTTGCTCTAGCTTTTTGTTTCAAAGCTCCTTCTTCAATCATATCCCTTTTTTCCAAATTTTGGACCAGCCTCTTCTCCTCCAACAATAGCTCATCAGAGCAATTTGTAGTAATGTTCTTTGAACCCTTTCAAGTTCAATTATGGATTTCTTAATCTTCTATCTAATGAACTTGAACTCCTCAACATTAAGCTTTCTCAGTACTAGTCTTAATGCTTTGAGTTTCAACCAAACATCCTGCATACTCTTCCTGTGGACTCTTTTGGCCATACTTGCTGAATATCAGTTAGGAATCTCTCATGTTCTGTCCAAACATTGAAGAATTTGAATGGAGTCTTCCTACTTCCTTGGTTAACAGTTAAGGTTAAGCTCATAGGAGCATGATCAGAAATGAAAGGCATCTCATATACTATAGTGATATGCCCCCATTGCATCATCCATTCATAGTTGCCAAAAATCCTGTCAATTCTACTTCATATCCTGTCACTCCCATCTTGCTTATTAGACCATGTATAATAATCACCTCCCAAGCCAGCTCACTAAGTCTTAAGTCTTGTATACATTTGCTGAAGTCTTGAGTTTCAGCCATGGTAATTGAATTTCCATGCATCCTATCTTGTAACTGTAGGACAGCATTAAAATCTCCTCCAATCACCCATGGTGTGGAGGTTATTTTCCCTATCTCTATTAAGCTTTCCCATAGCTGCTTCCTTCTTTCAACTGTATTAAACCCATAGACTACTAACACTACACATTCTTGATCCTTCCTGATATCTCTAACAGAACAATGAATAACTTGTGCTTCTGCCTTGATTAATTTGACTGAGTAGTAGTTTGAATCCCATATCACCCATATTCTTTCATTTACTGCAGCATTGTAATTATTTAGTATCTCCTAGCCAGGTAATATGGTGGCTAACTCCTTTAGCTTTGTGTTCTTTGACTCTAGTTTCAATGATACCTGCAAACTTAATGTTTTTGATCATCAAGTAGTTTCTCAGCTCCTTCCTCTTATACCACTTATTAATACCCCTGACATTCCATAGTAACCACTTCATTGATTGATTTTAATTCCCGACCCCTATCATGAGGTAAGGTAGAACTCCCATTGGTACCTGCTATTACATTTTTGAATCCATTTCTACTAGTAATAGGTGTTAACATAGGAAAATTTTTAAGACTCAAATCTAACATTTGCTTCTTGCCTTTGTCTATTGCATCTGTCACAGTGTTCCCTGTACCTTCTTCAAGTTGATTGTAGTTGGTCTGCCTTGTCTCCATTGTTGAGCAGGGTTGAGATTTCTCTTGAACAAGTCTAGTTTGGTTCTCAGTTGTCCCATTGACACCATATTGCTGCACATTTCCTGTATTTCCTGCTGCAGGACGTACATGACCTTTAGTCCTCCATTCATATGTTACTTTTTTGGCTTCTCTTCTTCTCTTTGGCTGCTCTTCCTTATGTTCTCTTGGCCCTTATTGCTTAGAACACACATGACCAATGACCTGGCATTTGTCACAGTATATTGGCTTCCACTCATACATCAAATCCTGCTGAAATACCCTGCCTCTAGGATCCATCACAGTAATCTCAGTAGGCATAGCTTTTGTAACATTCACTTCAATCAACATTCTTGCATAGGATATTCGTGTTTGCTTAGTGGTGCACTCATTAGCAAATAGGGGTTTTCCAATTGCACTAGCAATTTTGCTCAAAGCTTCACTACCCCAGCAGCTCATTGGTAATTTAGGAAAAATCACCCACAAAGGTATATCAGTTAGGAACTCTTTACTTAAATCAAAATCTGGAGATCATGGCTTGAGAATTATTGTTCTATTTCTGATAGTGTGAGGTCCAGCATAGAACACTCGATGCATATCTATTAGAGTTTGAAATGTTATCACATAATATCCATCATCATGAAGGAACAAATATGACTCAGCAACATCAAGCCAATGTTGAGCAATATATCGCCTCATAGCATTATACCCAGGGTTATCTCCAACAATGTAGGCTATCAATGCAGCACTCCATCTCTCTTGTGCTTCCTCTACATCTTGTAAATCTAGCTTTACCACAGTTTGACCATCTACAATCTGAGGTGGGACATACTTGAGATCCATTCCATGAGTAGTTACACGATTCTGCTGAAACAATTTGGTCCATGCTTTTGGCTCTGTCTTTCGATCTGCATGATTCATCTCCTTAGGGTTCTTATCCAGAGTCTCCTTCTCATTAGTTCCTATAGTAGCACCAATTTGGTCTGCATTAGTCCCTTTGCTCAGTTCCCCTTCAGTTACTCCATTGGATTTTTCATCAACCCTAGGATTAGCACTCGCCTCACTTTGGTCAATTGGTACTGGTACACTAAGATTCAATTTCCTTTTTACCTCCGAGCTAGTCGAAGGATTAGTCACATCAATTCTAGTCATCATTATCCCTTGTTGCTCTGGCATTTTCAATTCATGCGCTTGCACTTGAATTGCCTTTCCAGCTTTTGAATTGGTACTTACTGAGCTTCCATATGTTGTAATCGGTGTTTTGGGTACTTTTTTGGGTCTTCCTCTTCCTCTGCCTCGCCCCCTTCCCATGGCGGACGCACCAGCACATGTTTAGCTAATGTGAGCTGAGAGCATGAGATAGATAGCGTCTTTTTTGCATTTGAAGTGGTTTCTAATAAAGTTGTTATTATAATTTTTTCGTATGCCTTTTAATTTTAAAATTATTAGTTATTATGATTCATAATAATTTTATATAGTTTTTAAATATATGAATTCTGTTTCAAAAACTTAAATTTTTTTTTACCCGAATTCACATTCAGATTGATTGTTTGACCCTCGTACTCCGAATCGTGTGACATATAATATTTAATATTTCTTATATACACATATATTTGTCATATATTAAAGTGGGTGGAATTTTATAATATTTAAGGTTCTAATTTCTTATTCTCAATTGTGTAAATAGATTTTGAATTTTGATTGATATTAATAAATTATTGTTACGAGCAAACATTTACATTTCACCTTTTTTATTCTACTCATCATTTTCACTATTAACATCATTAAATTACATGCTTGATTACTACTATTTTTTACTTATTCATTTTGGAAAAGATTTAGTTATTAGATAGGTTTTTTTTTCCAGAAGATATATTTTTAGAAAAGAGAAAACTATCATGATATTAAAAAAAGAGACAAAATGGTGATAATTTAAAGGATAAAATAAGTATTTTAAATTTTCAATTGAAAATAAGGGGGAGAATGTCTATTGTTCAAAGTTGAGGGAAGAGTTTAATTTTTAAAGCAAGGTTTGGGATGTAAATGATTTTCATCCTATTAAAGTTTATTTACATGTTCATTTAAAAAGATTCATTTGTTTTATTCTATTAACTTCCTTCTCTTAAGAAACTAAGCTCAAAGTAATAATATAGAAACAATAAAATAGACAAAAGAAGTAGAGAGAAGATTGAACTTTCTTATTTCTTCTATGTATTCCAAGTGTGTACAATGTGATGCCCAAACCCTCTATTTATAGGATGATATAGGCAATACAAAGGGACTCCATAAACATGATATTAACTATTGAGAACTTGGGGGAAGATCATGGATGTGTGGGAGTTACATCCATAATGGTAAGAAGTAGTGGGAGGTTAATGGAGAAGAGTAGTGGGTGTTACTCCCTTAGGAGTTATGGACATCCACCATAATCAAGTATTTCATAACACTCCCCCTTGGATGTCCAAAGATAATGTGCCTCGTTAAAACCTTACTAGGAAAAAACCCTATGGGAAAAAAATCCCAGTGAAGGAAAAAGAGTACACATATCTGTAATATGCTTTATTTGCTGCCTCGTTAAAAATCTTGCCAGGAAAATCCTGTGGGATAAAACCTTAGCTAAGGGAAAAAGAGTACAACACATATTTGCCTCCCCTAATGAAAATATCACTTTATTTCTCGGAGACGATGAATTCCAAGCTTGTCTAACAACTTCTCTAATATTGATATCGGCAATGCCTTGGTGAATTATTCCGCCAAATTATCACTTGAACGGATTTCTTGAACATTTGTTTCATCATTCTGTTGAAGATCGTGTCTGACAAAGAACTTTGATGAAATATATGATTTATTCTGTCTCCTTCAATATATTCTTCTTTCAATTGAGATAAGCAAACATGAGCGTCTTCACTATTATTGGAATCTTCTCTTCAAAGAAAAGTCACACATCTTGTGAAATGATAATATGACAGTTCATCACATACAAATAGATTGTTTGAAGAACGGACTTCAATAAATGCCTGCATTTGCATAAACAACAAAACCTTGACAATATTTGTTAGAATAAACAAATCTATATCAAAGATTCCTTTTGCAATATAATACTAATCATATTTCAATATCTCCATATAGCCTTTATACTTTCAGCTGTTGGGACTATTCGTCCAACTTCATATTTTTCAGATGAAGTCAATTTTCATTGCATATTTTTCATTTGGCCAATCATTTATCTGTCCAAATTCCATGACAAATTTGAGCTCAAGATCCTCATCAATATTAATAATATTGAGCGCTACATTATATTAACAACATCGTCGACGATCATTTTACATCGGTTCCATCATCAGTCAATAAAGACATAACTTATCAAGATCTCATTATTTTCAGGTACCTGAGCCTCTCCTATGAGGTCTTATCAAGTGTTATGTCATGGTGCTCTTATATAGCACTTGCCTCCTTATTATGACCATCTTGGACATTTGCTCCTCTCCTTCTTCAAGGAGTTTTATCTTTGGAACCGATTAGTCTATTACGCTTTATGCGTTCCATAGACTATGTCCATCATGGACTTTATTATTTGGAGCATTAGTAGCTGAAATGTGACATTTAGTTTGGGTCAGCAATGTGCCTGAAAATATTTTGCAAATGAATTATCACTTGAACTTCAAGTTCATATTTTCTTGTACGAGGATCTAAGTATACTCATAATAATTCATTCCATGTATTACTTTTTTCAGCTGCTCATTTTCTCCCCCTAATGTTGGGATCACCAACACATATCCCCAACCTTCTTTGGGGACCAATCTTTGTGCATTGTGGTGGCACAATTAAATCATATAGTACATCCATATTTCTAGATGAAAATATTTGGTTCCTGACCCCGAACCAATTGTGATGGGGAGAATGTATCATAACTTGTTGGCTAGATGCGTACAAGTGTTGTTGTACATTAAATAATACACCTCATACCAAATTTCTATTTTGGGAGTTTTGTTCTCATAACCAATGGTTTAGCTATAATTGGAGGCATACAATTTCTGCTAAATCAACTTGGATTTAAACTAGCATTATGAAGATAAATTATCATAATATATATTCTGGAATTGTGCTCTAATAATTTGAGCAA